CTTTGGCAACAAGTCTGACTTTATTCTTTGTTATGTTTCCATCTTCATCAACTTTATTCCTAAATACCCATTTAGTTCCAATTACTTGATGTGATTCTTCTCTTGGGATTAATTCTCAGACTTGATTCCTTTCAAATTGGTTAAGTTCCTCTTGCATAGCTATGCACCATTGGTCATCTTTAAGTGCTTCCTCAACATTTTTGGGTTCTATCTGTGACACAAAAGCTACAAACATGTAGAAATTAGTCATATTTCTAGCTCTTACCCCTTTTGAGATATCATCAATGATATTGTCCATTGAGAGTCCTTTAGGTGATTGCCATTCTTTTGCTAATTCAGACGTTTGAGAAGGCTCATTTTCTTCCAAATATAATTCATCAAGAGCCTCTCTTATATACTCATCATCACCTGCAAGTTCTTTATTTGACTCAAGAGGATTTCCCCCAAGGTCTACAATCTCATTAAAAGTAACATGTATAGATTCTTCAATATTTAAAGTTCTTCTATTAAACACCCTGTAAGCCTTGCTAGTTAATGAATAACCTAAGAAAATGCCCTCATCGGCTTTTGGGTCAAATTTTCCTAAGTTGTCCTTTCCATTATTTAATACAAAGCACTTACATCCAAATATTTTTAAATGAGCAACATTAGGCTTTCTACCATTTAACAATTCATGGGAGTTGATTTTATAATTGACCTAATGAGCATTCTATTTAAAACATAACAAGCAGTACTAACTGCATCAGCCCAAAAATATTTAGGAACATCAGATTCATTTAACATTGTTCTAACAAGTTCCTCTAGTGACCTATTTTTCCTTTCAACTACACCATTTTGTTGGGGAGTCCTAGGAGCTGAAAAGTTATGTAATATTCCATTTTCTTCACAATAATTTTCAAACTTTTCATTTTGAAACTCACCACCATGGTCACTTCTTAAAACTTTAATTCTTAAGTCTTTCTCATTTTGTATTTGTTTTGCAAACTTTCTAAAGACCTTAAAAGCTTCACTTTTCATTGTTAGGAAAAATGTCCAAGTATATCTAGAGTAATCATCAACAATTACAAGACCATAATAATTTCCACCAAAGCTTTTTATCCTAGAAGGTCCAAATAAATCTAAATGTAATAATTCTAGGGGTTTTGAAGTGGAAATAACATTCTTTGATTTAAATGATGATTTTACTTGTTTACCTTTTTGACATACATCACACAATCTATCTTTTTCAAATTTTAACTTAGGCAAACCAATAACTAAGTCTTTTGAAATCAATTTGTTCAAATGATGCATATTTATATGAGCCGCTCTTTTATGCCATAACCAAGGGTTCTCTTCCTTAGCAACTAAACATGTTATGCTAGAATCATGTAAACAATCCAAATCAATCAAGTATATGTTATTATGCCTAATGCCTTTCAATGCTACATTTTCGGAATCTATCAAGTGTATGGTGCAAAATTTACTTTCAAATATTACCTTAAATCCTTTGTCACATAGTTGACTTATACTAAGGAGATTATGCTTTAGTCCATCAACAAGAAGCACATCCTTAATCTCCAAAGTGTTTGCACCACCTATATTTCCAATTCCAAGAATTTTCCCTTTGTTGTTGTCCCCATAAGTTACATATCCTTGTTCTTTAGCTTTGAAACTCACAAATTTTGTTTTATCACCGGTCATATGCTTTGAGCATCCACTATTAAGATACTACATAGACTTCTTTGATTTGGAAGTTTCCTACAAAACAAGAACATAGTAAACTTAGGTCCCCATAACTTTTAGGTCCTTGGGGTTAGAGACAAACAAATTATTTAACAATAGGAACCCAAATGTATTTACCTTTAGGAACACCAAAATGTTTTATTTTACATTTATTTGAAGTGTGACCTTGTTTCATACAGTAAAAACATGTTTTTGATGTAGCTTTTGAAAATGATGCATTTCTAATAATGGATGATTTAGTTCCTTTTTCCACTCATACTCTTCTCTTTTTAGTTTTAGGCTTTCTCAAAGAAACTTGATGGTTTACACTATTTTGAGTTACAACAACTTTATCCTTCTTAAAATCACTTATCTCATTTTCGGCTTTATCTAGCAAATGGTTAAGGATATCTATGTCATATTCATACTCTTTACAAGTTGCACATGCTAAGTTCTTATCATCATTCTCATCTAAACATACAATTTTTCGTTTCTAAGGATTCCTTTTCTTCTAAACATGTGATTTTCGTTTTTAATGAGTCAATTTCCTTTTCGGATCTACTTAAACTCTTCTTCACAACTTTATATTCATTTTTCAAATCCTTAAAGGCACTAAACAATTCATTGTAAGCATTTTGCAGTTCATCATAGTTATTTTCATCATCACTTGAGAATGAGTCGGAATCATTTACTTCAAAGTCGGAAGATATGTTGTCATTTTCCATTAAGCAAATATTGACTTCTACTTCCGAGTCACTTGATTCCGAACTTGAATCACTGTTGTCCCAAGCAATATAAGTTTTCTTCTTGAAGAACTTTTTGCTTTTGATTTCTTCGTTCTTCTTATTTAGACATTCGGTTTTTACATGTCCTACTTCACCACAACCATAACATTTTATATTTACGGAAGTACTTTCTCTTACCTTTCCCTTACCTTTGAATGAATGCCTTCCTTTAGCTTTCATGAATTTGGTGAACTTCTTTATCATAAGACTCAATTCTTCTTCTTCGTTCTCCGAGTCTTCTTCTTTCTTTTTATTTTTACCTTTGGAAATTTCGGTTTTGAAGGCTAAGTTCTTCTTTTGATATTGTCCTTCTTCTTCATTTAGCCTCCCAAGCTCAAGCTCATGCTCTCTTAGCATTCCAAATAGCGCCGCCATAGACATAGTGGTAAGGTTTTGTGACTCCGAGATGGCCGTCACCTTAGGTTGTCATTTCCTATCCAAAGATTTTAAAATTTTAACATTCAATTCATCAACGTCAAAGATTTTACCTAATCCGGTGAGATGATTCACAATATGAGTGAAACGCTTTTGAACGTCAAATATCGTTTCGCCTCGTTGCATCCGGAACATCTCGTATTCTTGGATTAAGGAATATTTTTGTGCTCTCTTAACATCGTCGGTACCTTCGTGGGTCACTCTTATCATTTCCCACATCTCCTAAGCACTTTTACAAACAGAAATCCTGTAAAACTCGTCAAGGGTTAAAGCAGATGAAATTATATTTCTAGTCCTAACGTCAAAATGTGCTTTTCTGTTTTCCTCTATTGTCCATCTAGAAAAAGGTTTGGGAACGTCAACACCGTTCTCAGTAACTTTAGGAACATATGGACCGTTTAAAATAGCGTCCCAAACGCCTCTATCAACAGACTCTAAAAATATTTGCATTCTTACTTTCCAAAAAAGATAATTTTGACCCGCAAAAAGTAGGGGTCTGTTGATAGACGCACCTTCGGCAAAAGTTTGATTTTGTCCGGCCATTTTCGAAAAGTTTGAATGACTATCAAAGCAAGCTCTGATACCACTTGTTAGAATCGCGCAGCGGAATGTTCGCGAGGTCGGACAAAAACCAAGAGGGGGGTGAATTGGTTTCTTAACAAAAATTAGGTTTTCAAAATTTTTCCCAAATTTTACCGATTAAAAAGTTGTGTAAACGTAAATAAGATAGAGATAGAGTCTTACACAGGAGATTTATACTGGTTCGGATCAAAAGACCCTACGTCCAGTTGCTAATCACTCAAACAGAGGATTAACGCTGTCACTATGATCAAAGTTGTTACAAACAGATAACAATTGAAAATACAAAGTAAAGAAAACACCTCTCTTGAAATCCACAAGAGATGAAGAACAGCTTTCCCCAAAGACGGCACAGCACACAATCCACTAAGAACTCCACTTAGTGATTCTTATCGCTTCTAGCTCACACCAGGTTCCAAAAGCCTTTTTTTCCTCCAACAAACACTTCTCTGGCACTCACAACACTTAACTTTTGTTTGAAAAAGGTTGTTCTCATTTTCTGAGTGCCATAGAGAAGCTTAAGTAGAGAAATTAGGGTTTGGGAATTGGGATTTTCGGAACTAGGAGTCTTGGGATTAGGGTTTTCGAAAATAAGGTTGATTTGAAGTTGAAAATCAAAATCTGACTGAAATAATCGATTAAATGAAGTGTTAATCGATTATTACAGAGTCAAAATCAACAGAACCCCAAAACTCACTGTTTTAATCGATTAAAAGTCCTGTTAATCGATTAACAGGCCTGTTAATCGATTAATAGGTGTGTTAATCGATTATTACAGTGAACCGATACAGAAAATGGTTTTTCTCACTGTAATAATCGATTATTTGACCATTTAATCGATTAAAGCCGAGGCAAAAAGATAAATTTGAGTTTTTGAAGCTTCTAAAGTGCAGACTATGTACCGGCTATCTTAAACTCTAATATTACAGACTCAAACTAATCAAAACAGAGTTATTACATTATAATACAAGTCTTCAATTCTCTAAGTTCTTGTGTTCTTGAATCATCATCAAAATCAACAAGCTTCATGTCCATGTAAGTTCAACATCAAGTCCTTGAATGTTCAACAGAGTATGTCTTAGTCTTTTTCTTTTCCTTTAATTTTACCTGAGATGTTTGTCACATATTAATGTCAAATCTTCTCCAACAAAACCATCAAAAATGTTAATTGATCTTTATTTCACCATTTAGAATGGTTATATGATCGCAAACAAATGAATGGATTTTCCTTCTCCGTCACCATTATAATGAGTTTCATAACTGGTTTTAGTTACAAAAATACAATAATTTATGAAATGTGAACAACGAACTTTGGTCTTTGTAAGTTATTCTAACCTGTAATTTTCCCCAAGCATACAAACTTGCTGGTGTTAAGATATTGAGTTTTTCTAAGAAAAAAAATACATATAGCATCTTTTTCCTTCTTAGATTGACTGTCTAACGTATGCATGTAGCATGCTTGTTTGATCCAATTAATGTTTACTATGCTTGTGTGACCAGGTCCGAGTTCTTGGTAGTCTCCAGCACCCTCATCTGGTTACTTTGCTTGGTGTTTGCCCTGAAGCTTGGTCATTTATATATGAGTACTATCCCAATGGAACTCTTCAAGATTACCTATCCCGAAAAGGAAATCTTCTGTCTCTGACTTGTAGTATCCGAGCACGATGGATTTCTGAGATTGCTAAAGTTCTCTGCTTCCTACATTCTTCCAAACCTGAAACTATTATCCACGGTGGTCTGACGCTTGAAACTGTCATTCTTGACACTGGCCTTAGTTGCAAGATATGTGACTTTGGGTTCAGCAGGCTGGTGAAAGAGGAGTCACTTTATCTTTCTAGTTTTCACTTAAGCAGTGAGCCAAAAGGTTCTTTCACATATACAGATCCTGAGTTTCAGAGAACTGGAGTACTAACACCTAAGTCTGACATATACTCTTTTGGACTCATCATTTTGCAACTCCTCACTGGTAGGACTCCAGTTGGATTAGCTGCTGAAGTACGCAGAGCAGTTTCATGTGGAATATTATCTTCAATTTTGGATTCTTCAGCTGGAGAATGGCATTCCACCGTGGCAACACGATTGGCTGAACTGGGATTGCAATGCTGCCAACTGAACAGTAGAGACAGACCAGAGTTAACACCTTCTCTAGTGAGAGAATTGGAGCTGTTGTATGTTTCAGAAGAGCGACCAGTGCCATCTTTTTTCTTGTGTCCAATCTTTCAGGTAACTGATTCTTTTTGTTATTTATAGAACTAGATTTAGTAGTAATATTAATGCAATGACTCAATAAAATGCATAATGTAGCTGATGAGCTTACCAATGATTGTTTCTTAACATTCTTAATTTCTTCAATTTAAGCATGAGATTGAAGAGAAACCATTTTCTTTTTACAAGATATTCACAGTTGTTGTATTTATGAGGCTCATTTTTATTTGGTTCATTCTTCAGGAAATAATGCATGATCCTCAAGTTGCATCAGACGGATTTACTTATGAAAGGAAGGCCATAAGTGAATGGCTGGAAAATGGGCACGAAACTTCTCCTATGACTAACTTAAAATTGAGTCACCCGCATCTCACTCCCAATCATGCACTTCGACTTGCTATCCAAGGCTGGCTTTGCAAATCTTGAAGTTCCATTAATTCATTTATCAACGTTGTAAATATCTACATGTCTATTTCTTTGCATAATTGTGTTGTCTTTCTTTATTGCTTTCTAGCTCAAATCAATCATCCTTGAGGGTTTAATGATATAGGGTAAGGTAGTTTGGTTTCTATTGTTTGTGCTTTGGAATCAGTATGATGCGTTCAGACTGAACTATTGTACATTCAGATTTATAACTGGAGAGATTATAGAATTTATGCGGAAATATTAATTCAGAAGAGAAACTTATATCATGTTATTTTTTACTACTTATATAAAAATTTGTCTAAATAGATTCAAAATACAGAGAAATACATTCCAAAATGGCAAAAACTCTCATCTTTGTTCGGTAACAAACCGTGATATTGAGGGGAAATTCTGGCAGTAACAAAATGGTTACCCATATACACGAATGGAAAATGCAATTTTGCAGATAACTTTGGCTTCATTTAATCTTCAAATTGTTTCAACACCCTTGTAGTATTCCGTCTCTAGCAGAAAGCAGGGAGGCAGTGCCATGCATTTCATTTGAACTAAAGGGATGATCATCTTCTGTTCTGATGATTCCAAGCTTGGAATCCTCCTCACCACAATCCAAAAGTGGTTTGGATTCCCCTTTCATGTTCCACAGATGGAACTCCTCCTTGCTCGGCTCCATGTTTTCTTTTGCATTTGTTTCAGATTTCTGAAGCATTTGAGTGTTGTCTAGATCATCCTGGTATCCCTTGGCTTTCACACTACCAAAGGACTTGAAAGTTTCACCTTGATAGCTAGGAGATTTCACGGCCACTGTGTCCACATCCACACCATTGTTTGAACAAGAGGACTTGTTTTCCTGATCTTCATGGTTGTTCAAATCTGAGTCATACCTCTTAAGTGTGGTTGGCATTGATTTCTCACGTAGAATACATTGTGCTGGAGTTGACCGATGGGGAAAACTTCCAAAACCTTCAATTCCTCTCGATAACCTTCTAGCTTGTTTTCTCTCTTCCTTGAGAAGAGTTATTTCTTCCATAAGATTCACTATCCTCTCGGATTTCTTTCTGACGGTTAAGCCCCAATTAAACCTGAAAAATACTCAAAATGCACTCATTTTGTCTATACTCTAGCAGGGCCAGTTTCAAGAAGAAGAAAATTAACAAGGCATAGATTTTTAGGCAAGAGATGAAAAAATAAGAACATACCCACTTACCCAGTGTCATCAATAAACTGAAAACTTTTAATCTGACTAATAACATTTTTGTCACTCTTAAATTCCTCAGCAACACTCTCTGGTCCATGAGTCAACAGGTGTTCAAGCACGATCAGGGAATTGTAAGAGACCCTCCAATTCTTCTTTTCAAATTTCAGGAACCTATTTTAGATTTGTAACGGTCATTCATCCATGATTGGTTATTAACACAAAATGTAGGAAACATGCTAAGGCAAACAAAAGGGACCTAGAAACACCTTTTATGCAGAATCTCCACAATCCTCCAATAATCATCTAACTCAAAAGCAGCCCTTGAAATTGATCTGAGTGTTCTGGAATCTGGGGCCCATGGATTTCCACTAGTTGCCTCTTCTGTCATCCTGCAAAGAGTAAAACACATCAATACAGAGGAATAAAAAAAAAAAAAGGATATGTTAGAAATCCTAGAACTAGTTTAGGTTATGAAAGAAATCAAAGGGTGGTCATTGATCAAAATAACAAATCAAAATCTCATTGATGATTTCATAAAAGAATTAGACTTACAGCTCTGCAGGGGTGACATCTGTTAGAGCTAATCTAGCAGTCTTGATTTTCTCCTTGAGGAAGAAAGAAGCTTGCTTTTTGAATTCATGGAACAAGGGCGTGCTCATTTTGCTGCTTCTAATTTTGTTCAACGCTATTGATCATATCTAAACTTATTCCATTTGGGATGAAACAGATTGATAAAAAAAAAAAAAAAATGAGAAGAGAAAGTGGTTTTGGTTTGAGTAGGGACAAGTAAAACAAGCTGAAGTCACAAGTTACAACCAATCCTCCAATACACCAAAATCAACACTATTAATTATCATATGACGTGAAATTGCGGCAATATTGATACTATCTACGAGGGAAAAAATAATCCAAGTTAAACCGAACTGTGTTTTATGAAAACAAAGTATGAGTGACTTTTGCGCTTGGACTTTGGCACAGAGAAATTGAATTTACACATGCCCCTTAGTCAAGGTGCAATTAGTTTGGTTTTTGATTTTTTTTTCTTTTTCCGGTATTTGAATTTATAAAACGCGTACGTGAGAATAAGTCAACATGTTGGGGATCATCACTTGGAAAGGGTAGTTGTATTTGAATTTTGAATTTGATTACTGTCAATAAGTCAGAGTTTAAAGTTTTTCCCTCCCTCCAGAAGGGTTAGGCATGCGACAGTAAGTACGTGGGTGAAGGTTAGCCAAACTTTAATGTCAAAATCTAGACATTGTGGACCACAATACCATGTCCATTTTCATCTTTTTTAATTATAATAAATGGTTGGTGTTTATGTCATTTTGGTCATCTTTGTTAACATGTTTATGAGCTTAACACCATCAACACAGTATCGTACCTTACATGGTAGTTGAACCAAGGTTATGTCCAGAGAACCATGCTTCATGAGACTTGAGTTTTTCGCTAAGTGAGAGGTCACAATCGATCAGATATACTTTATTATGGGATCCATCGTGTCATTGGAAATTTCGCCCCAAAATCTATTCAACAATGATTTTCTTAGTGGTGGCGGCATCGAATGACACGTTTATCTTAACTTTATAGTCCCTGAGACCGTCTTCTACCAAAATTTGAAGTTGTTGAATTGACTAACATTAGCAAATTATTTTCAGAACAAAATAGGGAAATTTCCTACATAATTGTATTATATAAAATGGGTTATTATTATAATATTCCATTCGTCTTATAATTTTTATAATTTAACGTGAGGTGCGTTTGAAAAAATATTATGTAAATTGACTTTTTTCAAAAAATCCTTGTTGTGTGGTGAGTTATACTTTTACTATATGACCGGTCGCAAAACATCAGAAAGAACAAAGATGTTATTTTACTGGTGCAACCTCTTACAACTTAGCAACAGTTTGAGTGGGTGAGAAACAAATATATGTATGTAGTGAGAATGAAAAAAATGTGATTAAAAACATATTTGTAGCAGAGAAATCTTGAATAATGTATGTTTTAAAAAAAATTATAAATATTTTTAATATTTCCTCTGTTTTAAAATATATAAGGTTTAAGTTTAGCTTCACAAATCAACATAAACATTAATTTTTATTATTTTTAATAAATTTATTATTCATTTTCTTCTTATACCTTTATTATCCTAATATTCTCCAACAAAATTACTTTTAAGTAACTTCTTATCTCTTCTCTATTATTACAAATATTGAAATGTTTAAAGAGACATATAAGTTGCAAGAGAATAATGGGACTGAGACTCAACAAAATCATCTTCTATAAATAATAAATAAATAGTATTATCTCTTTTAAACAAAATATATATTTCATTGGATATATATATATATATATATATATATATATATATATATATATATATATATATATATATATATATATTTTTTTTTTTTTTTTTTTTTGAAGAATTGAAGAAACTAAGATAGACATAACTTGTGATTTTTTGAAAAATGTTTGACATAGTTTTACATCCATGTGAATTAGAATAAAGCGATGTCAGTTTTATATTTAGTGATGATTGAAATATTTATTTAATTAATAAAATTAAATTTAATAAATATAAACCATCTCACCTAAATAAAATATATAAAAATTTAAAAATGAAATATACTTAAAACTTTGGATATTATAATTTTGTTTATTCAAATGTAATGTTAAGGTTTGAATAATTGAAGCATGAGCCCAAACTACTTAATTTGAGCTGGAGAATAATATCAGATGAAAACTTTATATTTTGTCTTTTTAGTTTTATCTAAATATGAAATTATAATGAAATAATCTCAATAATAATATATTTAAATAAAAAATTTATAAATTTATTTATTCAATTAAATTATTTATCATTCATACATAAAATATAATAATAAGAAATAAATTAATTTAATATAATATAGTTATTTTTTTATCTTTCCTCTTTTATTTTTTATTTATTTTTGTTATTTTTTTCTTTATCCTTCTTTATTGCTTTTTTTTCTTTTTCTCTCTCCTTCTTTTTTTCTTACCTCCATCTTATTCTTTTAATTAAAAATACTATATTTAAATTTGATAAAATAAAATTTTTATTATTTTTGAAAAATAAAAAAATAAGTTATAAAAAATAATATAATTTAATATATTATTTTTGAAAAAATATTATATAATAAATTTAAGGTATTGTAAATATTATTGTTAAATTATAATTATTAAGAAAAAAATATTTATTTTAAAGTAACTTTTTTAATAAATATTTTTTAAAACTATCTAATATAAATAATCATCATAATTCAATCTAATTATAACTTGATTAAGTTACTAAATAAAAAATTCATTTAATTCATAAATATTTTATATTTTTTTATTAAATGGATAATTAATTTAGTATGATAAACTAATTTTAAATTAATTATTTACATTGATTATTTTATCAATAATTGTATTAAAGTATTGTATATATATTTAATATATTGCTTTAATTAATTATTAATGCTTAATATAGTTTTTATAAAAAAAACAAATATTTATTAATATAATTTTTTGATTAAATTATACATTTTAATTATTTATTTATTTATTTTTGTATAAATGATAAATTAAAAAAATTATAAAAGTCAAAATTGAAGAAAATTTATTGGGAGTTTATCAAAATTATTCTTGATATTCCATTGAAGTCAATTGAAGAGAATCCACTAATCGAAGTAATTCTCGATATATAATCGAAGTATTTTTTGATAGCTTATTGAATAAATTTCTTGATAACTCATTCCAAAATCGAAGTTATCAGATTGATCACACAATTATCATGTAAAATGCATCGATTTTTATATAATTTATTTAACTATAATTTTACTCAACACATAAGAAATCGATGAGCGAATTTTCATAAAACCTCAATTATGTATAAGTGTGAAAAGTTCCATTTTATGCAATTGATTAATTATGATCGTTGAATGGACCTTAATCATTCTATACACTAGTTTTGTTATTTAAATAAGTTTAACAAGATCGAAAAATATAATTTATAATTAAAATTGTTTCGTTAGGAGTAGAATTTAGATTTTGTCTGCACTTGTTATTTTTAATTCATATTCTTAAATAACTTTATTTTCTCCGATTCTTGAGCTTCTTTACAAATGATTTCTTGAGAATAATTAATTCAAGTTACTTTTAATCATATTTGTTTCATTTCTCTTATTTTCGCTTTCATTTTCATCTTCTTCTCCTTCTTCACACCATTTCTTTTATTATTTTCATGTCTTTTATGGTTTTTCTTACAAATTCTTTAATAAAATTTAGACATAAGATTCTTATGTTTTTCATGTCTTCTACTTTGTTTTTCTTACAAATTCTTTAATAAAATTTAGACATAAGATTACGTTCATCAGTCATCGTATATAAAATTATTTATTATCATTATAATTTTAATTAATTAGTTTATTTTTTTTTAAATATTTTTTAATATATTTGTATTAAATTTTAATATATTAATTTTCATTAGAATAATAAGTGAGAGAAGAGAGAGAAAATAAAAAAATATGAAATAAAATAGAAAAAACAAGAAATAAATGAGGAAAGAAAAAAATAAAAAAAGTGAGAAAAGAAAAATTGAGTGAACAAAGTTGTATGTTTGATACTATTTTGGATAATTTTTCTTTTAATATAATGAGTTTATTTATTGAATTAATACGATGAGTTTGTTTGTTGTGTACAATATTTAATGCAGATGGATGGGTTCCCTCACCATAGAAGGAGTGAACATGAAAATTAAGTTGAAATTTAATGAAGGTTGTAAAGTGGCAGATAGTAGTATCCTTTTATGTCCAACTTTTTAATTCTCACTAAAATGGTAGCTACCAGTTATTACAATTATTTATTAATTTTCAAGTAGTAGTAGAAAGAACACCTATGTCTCTTTACAATGACTACCAATTTTAATTGTGAATTTCATCTTGTTTTACATGGAAATTGTTTTAAACAAGCATTTTTATTTATTTTATCTAGAATTAGACTCAAAACTATCTCCATCAAATTACAAGACTAATCTCTTGAGAAAGTAAAGTAGAAGTTAATGAGAAACTCCTCCACTTATAGATGTTATTCTTGTGTATCATATGGTTAAAGATGTCATTAATCTCATATTTTCTAAGTTTCGTAAAATTATATTACATATCATCCTTTTTAAATACCAATCATTTATATGTAATTACAAATGGTAATTTGTATACCACCAAAAAGATTTTATTAGAGTAATTATATGTTCATAATTGAGTAACAAACACATACTTATTTACTGTTTTTTTTTTCAAATATGTTGGTTAAGGTTGGTCTATACAGATTGAAATAAGTACTAATTTTTAATTTTTAATAAATAAAATAAAATAAAACTATTTTAATTTATTTGAGGAAAAAATGGTCATAATAAAAAAAATTAAAATTAAATATTTATTTAATTATAAGATTATGCATATAATTATAACTTATTTTTTTATAAAATAAATTTATAAATTAACGCCTTTAAATTAATTTTTTTTTTAATAATATATTTTGACATATAATTATAAAATATTTTTTATTATAAAATTATATTCTATTTCATTTAAAGTTAAAATTAATAAATGATATTACAATAACAAAATATAAATATATTAAATTATTTATTTTACTTTTATAATGATTTTTATATTTATAACATCTCATCACATTAATAATTAATATATATATATATATATATATATATATATATTGAAATTATAAACAAAAAAATAAATAATTATTTATTTAGGTAAAATAATTTTTTTATACCTTCTACTCTTTTTATTTATATACAAGTGAAAAATAAAACTTAGATTTCAATAAAAAATTATATTTTATTATTTTTTAAATTTTTGTTTAGCTTATTTTTATATACCGACCCTCTATTTATTTATTTATTTATTCTACAAACGATAATTAATAGTGAGAACATTCATGATCTCCCTTTCTTTATTAATAAACTATAAAAGGTGAAATGATAAAAGTTATTTTTTGAAAATTATTATTCCTTTGTTTCATTTCAATACTAACTAATATGATATAGTCAGAAAATAAATCAAGTCCACCTAAAAAATATTTATTTCATACAATCATGTTGAAAAATGTTATAAGAGTTATTCATTAATAATAATAATAATAATAATAATAATAATAATAATAATAATAATAATAATTTATTAAATAAAAAATTAAATCAAAATACATTTTTCTTTTCTCCTTTAAATCAATATACTGTAAAAATATAATAATAGGTTTGGAAACATAGCATTCAACTTTTCATTAATGCCCTTGGAAATTAGTTGGTCAAAGATAGTTTTTGAATAGAGAGTTATGTATGGTGTGAACATAGCATTCAGTTCATTGTTCATTGAACCCTTTCGTATGCAATTTGTAAGTCTCGTCAACGACTCAACCCTTAAAAAGATGGAAAAAATAAATAAGATAAAAAATTATGCCTGATACGAAATCGCACCACATTTTTTGCCTTTTTATTAGAAATTGGCAACAAGAGAACAAAAGCATCATCTGGTTTAAATTGGTCACACGTAAGAGTGGGAGAAAAAAAGACCATTTGGCTAAAGGAATATAGCAACACAAAAAAGAATGCCATATTGCAAATAGTGCCTCATCCACATCAAATTGAAAAGGAAAACATAACCTGCATGAACCTTGGGCCATGTTGTAGGCATTTTGGAATATGTTGTATTTTTTATATTTTGAATGGGAAAAGATGCTGATGCACAGATGACTAACCCTGCCATTTGCCAACCAGCGTTGCACAAAGTGATGGAGGGTGCTAGTGCTTTCTGCACCACCAATAGATAATTAAGGAATGACTTTTATTACAAAAATTACAATTTTATGTGAGTTATAATCAACAAAATCATCCACCTTTTACAACTTTACAGTCCTCACCACCCAACTTAATTGCACAACTAAGCACTCTCCAAGAGCTTAGTTGGTGTTTTACAAAAGGTGAGTAGGGAGGGGGAAAACAGCAAAAAGGATGCCTCACCCTTCGCCACTATATATATATGTATATATAGCTCATTTCCTCTTCCCTTTCCTTGTTTTGTGTATGATAATATATATGGTTTTCAGTATACTTATTTATACACATGATCTCCATATCCTTCCCTCCAAAGAAATAACAATGATGGAGACATCATCATGGTAACGGCGCCTATCACCCTGTGGAATTTCTAGTAACTCGTGAAAGACCAAACCTGACATAAACATGGCAAAGACATCAGTAAAAACTAGAAAAATGCCTCGAGGAATCATCAGTTTGTAAAATATGTTATTATCAGTACCAGCTTTCTTTGCAGCACGAAATAATACTTCTTCGACCAAATGCTGAGCCGGGTCTCCCTCAGGTTGCAATGTGATGAAAAGCTCAACTTCAGCCACTGCCTCTTCGTTTGACAAGTACTGATAGAGCCCATCGGAGCATAGAATCAAAAATTTGTCCTTTGGACCTAACCTGTGGTGTTTTAGATATGGCAGGCAGCTGATGTAAGGAGAGTTTCCGACGTAGTCTATTCTAAACATCTCCAGAAGTGCGTTGTTCCACTTGGGCTGCAAAAGGTTACCACTAGAGAAATGAGAAAATGCAGAATAGTGGCCATTTAGAGCATAGAAAATACTGCTCAGATTTCTCAAGATGCACTGATAATTCATGGTTCAATATTCCGATTTCTGTTGAGAGGAAAGTTACTGATCTGTAATTAATTATGCTCTACACGATATGAAAAACTTAACTTGAGTATCACAACAAAAAAGCAGCAACAACAAAATTTTCTACATCCTTATATTCCAAGGATCAGGCTAGTTATTGGATCTAAGGAACCTTCTGTGGCAACAAAAGGAAATGTGGAGGAGGGTACATCTTAAAGCAAAATATGAAAACCATTCAGTTATCGCATACTTTGCTGATTCCCTTGCCGTTCATGTTAAAGACATATAGTTACTGTAAAGTAGGATGAATGAATACATTGGATAAATCGGTCAATAATAGATACCAACCTGTTTGAGAAATCCAGCACCAAATGCTCGGGTAACCTTGAGAGAACCCTTAACACGGTCATTTACAACAGCACAAGGATCATCCAGGTGTTCCTTTTTAATTCTCTGGATTTCCTGAAATAGAAACCAGACAGTCTCAATCAAGACATGCAGCAAAACACAAACCTACTAAAAGAAAGTAACCGAACTGAGGCAAACAACTTACTTCTTCAACACAAGTACTGTGATCTTTAGTAAGCTGAATCGCACTAAGACTTGGAACCAAGTTGGAGTTATCAACATCCCAAGATTCAAGATCATTCATTGTCTCCTCATTGATCCTCTCCAAGTCCTGCCTGATCTTGCCGAGCCAATAATCAGGCTCAGCCTTCTGAGCCAGCACAGCGCGACTATCCCCCACATTCATCACATAAACATCCTCCCCCTTCATCAACATCACAAGAACACACGAACCCATCAAGGCAAGTTCAGGATTCTCCATCACCATCTTATCCGCAACATCAAGGTAAGATTCCTCTGTCTTCCTCAGAGCCCGAGAAAGAGCTTCCAGAACATCCGCATGATTAATAGAACTTGCTGCTCCACCAGACCCGGATCGACTTAAATTGAGTTGTTCCTTCAATCGCCGGTCAAGCTCTAACCTCTCCCTATCCCACTCACACTTCCACCTCCGTTGATTCTCCTCCCACTTCTTCGCAGCACCTTTGAACTTGTTCCTCAAATTCCTACCTCTCTTATTACTACTCTTATTATTATTATTATTATTATTATTTTCTTGTTCAACACAGTGAAAACAGGCATCTACACCTGTAACATCTGCAACATCTCGCAACACGTCCTCTTTAGGCATCGAATTTTCCGGTCCAGACCCATCATCCCACAGCAACCCTTTCAGCTCCTTGTGAACCGCGGTGTAGAGATTCGAGAGAAGGTAATCTGGTGCATCGGGTCCATTGAAACCATCATAGATCCCCACGAAAACCCAACCATGTTCTTCAGACACAACAACATGGACACGATCTTCCCCTGCTTTCCCCTGAGCCCATTGAAGATTCTGACTCTCCATCGAATCATCGTCCTCCAAACTTCCCTCACTGCTCAAATTCACACTCAGATTCTCATTATGCTTCTCCGCCGCCGCCAGCATCCACTCCGGCTCCTTCACCACCACCCCTTTGATTGGAGCCACAATCGAGTTCTGCCCCCGAGACAGAGTCTTCGAAATCGCCCTCTGCAAAACTCGAATCCACCGACCCTTCCTCGTTCTCACTCTCAAACCTAATCCCAGCCCTAAACCCAGCCCTCCGTGTGAAAAGCTTCTCTGGAAATGATCCGATCCGTTTCCGATTCCGTTTCCCTCCCTCTCCATCGGCCCCGAAAAAAGCCCACGATCGATGGGCCCCGACATGAACCCGCGCTCGATGGGGCCCGACATGAACCCCCTCTCCAGTGGGCCCGAGCCCGGAAACCCACCACCACCGCCCAGGTTCCCCGAAAAGGGCCCCGAGTTCACCAGGTTCCGCGGAATCGGTTGCAGAGGAAGCGACGCGAACGACGTTGAACTCTCGAACGCCGCCGCTCGGTCAATAGAACCATAAGAGTACAAGTCAACGAAGGCCGTCGATAACGGCGTCGATGTGTTCGCGCTCACCGACGCGCCCGAGATTGTTCTGAACGTCGTCGTTTCTTCCGAGTGCACCTTCGACGACGATATCCGGGTCGGGTCGGGTCTAACGTAGCAGAACGAGTGACCCAACCCCTCGTCGAGAGGCTCCGATATTAAAATGGATATATCCTGCTTCCGACGACCCCTACCGTTATTTCCGGTGAAGCACACCGTTAACTTCCCTATGCCGTTTCCCATCCGAACACAAAAACCACCTAAAAAAAAAAGAAAAAAAATACAAACTTTAACGTTTCTCTCGCTGTTACTCGCTACAAGACTTGGTTCATGGTCGATTGGTGGAGTAGATGAAGAACCAGAGAGAGAAGAAGAAGAAGAAGAAGATGTGTGAAGAAAGAGAAGTTGAAGTTGATGTTGAGATGAGAAGCAGAGAGTTAGAGAGAGCTGGCGTTGACTTTGGAATAAAGTTTTTCTTTTTTTTGAAAATAAGAAAACGCACTTGCTTTTTTCGCTTGGAGATTTTTCTCACAAAATAAATTAAAAACTGGGGATTTTTTTGGAGTGGGGCGTTGACTATGTGGAAGATAAAGTAAAACTCAAAGGTTTATGTCCGGTTTTGATATCTTATTCAATGTTCGGGTACGTTTTGTGTGGAGCGTGGATTACACGGTAGGAAGCAAGTGGACGAGATTCGCGTGGGAAGGTCACGGATGGGAGCGATGGATGATTCTGATGGCGAGAGCGTTGTCGTGTTTGTTTGTTGTGTCTTGGGAGAAAATAAGGAGGGTGAAATTTAAATGAGGGTCATAAATTCTGGTTAAGAATCAAAAAGTCAACACAGCAAAAACCGTTTTTAAAGCTTCTCTTTTTTTGTAAAGCGTGCCGCGGGCGCCGTTGGATCAAGAGGAGGGTGTCCAAGACACGAAGGTTGACTGTCCACGTGTCGCGCTTTCATTGTTTCGGTCGGATAGTTGTCAACTTTAGGTTTCCCGAGAGCTCGTAATATATTTATTTATTCATTTCGAATAACTAAAAAACAATTGTCAAAAATTTCGGCTTTTTGTTTTAATCTTAATTGAATGTGTTGGTGGGGTGGTTCGATATTGTAATGCTGCCATCACTGCATAGCCTGAATATTTAGGTAATTTGACTAATGTGCATTTAAACGTAGCCCATTACTCCATTGACTTTCTTTTTTATTTGTAATTGCATATTTGAATTCAATGTTCTCATTTGGAATGTGGTTCATGATGTTTGAGTCCTAACCCATATACTTCATATGTTTATTTTATAAATACGTGTATAGTTGCATTATAATTTCAAGACAATTTTCATTGTTCAGCATATTTGATAGTAGACTCTAATTAAATGATAATTAGCATATATTTTTAAAAGTTATTGGAAGAGTGGACTTTTATCAGTACATAATAATGTAAACAAACATCTTTAGGTGCTCCCTAAATTTAGTAATCTAATTAAGTTTGAAGAAAAAATGCACTTGACTTTTGCAATCTACCAGAACGTTGTTCAAAAGAATTTTCTTACTTTTCAAAGTCACATATAATCCTTCTAAGTTACAATCAATTCCTTCATGAAATAGGTTTTGGGATATGACATGTTGCACTCCATCTTTCTCACGTCCCAATCACTATTTATTAACCCCCTAAATTTCTTTACTTTTCTTAAAACATAGTTTAATAATATAAATTTATTAATTTTTTACTGGACTAAAATTTTATATAAACAGTCAAAAACACTTTCAAAAAAAACTATTTCTTACTTTTGTTATTTTATTTAGCATCGTTTTTCACACGTTTTCTGCATAAATTTTATTCCAGTTGTAATTGTTTTTCATTATTATTGATGAGAAAGAAAAAGTGAAGGGTCTGAAATGGATTAGTCTTGTTTTTTATATTATATCCAAAACCGCGTGTGATGATTAGATTTTTCAGGGTAATATTGAGTGAGTGTAGGAAATTTGCACATGCATCCTAGTTTTTGTGTGAAAACTACGTTCTCTCTCTGTTACTTAATTCTCACTTTCCCACACTACCTACATGCACTGCTTGTGTTAACTAAACATATTATTTTAAATAACAAAAATTAAATATTTTTTAAAAATAACATTTTCAAAAATTTAAAAAAAAAAAGTGGCTTAAATAAATAACTTCTAATCAAGTAAGTTCTTCCACTCTTTCGTGAAAGCATTTTTTTTTTCATTATTAGATGAAACCGTTATACTGAGCAGAGTTAATTAACTTTTTAATCCAATTTTAAAGTTTATCATGTCATTTTAATTTAATTAATCTCAAATTACTAATATAGTGTATTTGTTTCACATCCATTTACTAGAAAAAGTTAATTCTAACTCTCACGTCGGAATACACTTTTCAATAAGTTTTCAAACAAACATAACACATCAAACATGAGATTAGTAAAGAGATAATAATTAGTTGGAATTCATGTAAATTTATAATATATAATCAAAATATAAATATCACTTGCATATTAGTTTTATAAATTTGAGTATATAACTATTCTTAACAAAGTATACGTTGGTGTCAAAAATTTCTAATATTTTGATCAGTCATGTGTTATGTTGAGTAAATTTGATTGTAATTTAACCTTAAATCTTTTTTAATAAATGGTTATATGTTATTATATCTATTAAATAATTTAATTATTATTATAAGGGATTTATGGTGATAGATGTTTTTTTTTTTTAAATCATACCCTAAAAAATAATATTACTGAAACGAATCACAAAAAGATTGTTTATTTGAACACTATAATATCAAAATTATATTAACGAGATTTATTGATCTATTACGATACTCATAATTAAATTCCTGTCGATTCATCCTTTAATAATCAGTTACATTTTTTTATATTCATTTTTCAAGGTAAAAAAATGTTTTAAAGATCACATTATTTAAAAATATAATAGTTAACTTATAATATATAATTGAAATACAAATCTTATTTTATAAATTTGAGTTAAATATCTTTATTTATAATATATTTTAACAAGAGTTGTTATCTATCACTTCAGCAATGACAATATTTTTTAATAATCAATTCTATATTTGGGAGATATTCATTTATCAGCATGAAAAAATAGGTTAGAAATTCGCATCAACTAAAAATATATTAAACTTATAGTATATAATTAAAATATAAATATGGTATTTGAAACTAAATTTATAAGATTAAATTATAGGTCTGGCAATTTTATAATAATATGGATGACCAACTCTTGACTCGGTAGGAATGAATCTATGAATCTAGCTTTGAAAAGCAGAGTGAGCATGAATGGCAATGAACAAGAAGTGTGATTTGGTTGGTAGTAATCTTTCCAAAATACACCAATTGGCTTGTGGGTGGAACACATGGAACTTATAAAGTTCACACACTTGTCAACTCATCAAAATCACTGTGTCTTCTTACCAGACAAATCAAACACATACATAGTTTTAGGTAAGTGTTTGCTTCCTAACTTCCATCCTAAATATTTTTTAAATGTAGGGTGTCAAATTAACCCACCTATCTATGAATAACATTTGAATAAATGAGTTAATTATGAAATTAAATGGGATTAGATTATTTTTAGTAATCTAATTTATGATATTTAAATGATTAACAAACAATGGAGAGATGAAGTGTGAATTCATGAGAGGGAAAATTATTTAGAGATGGATTAATTTAAAAACAATTTTACATGTGTTTATGCATTAATTAAAAGGTAGGAGGGAATAATTATTTATACATACATTGAAATTCAATGCCATCATCATTGATTATTTGCAAGTGGCAAGACCTTTCCATGCCACCTTCTCCACAATCCATCTGCATGACCCACCTACCCTTTTGCTCTTTTGTCCTTTTATCAACAGTTGCAAAAACAATGTCGTCCCAAGAATAAAAAAATAAATAAAACTGCACAAATAATTTTGTGATAACATAGATAAGGTGAATGTTAATTCTGTATTTTGATTAAGAAATGAAAAAGTTATAAGTTTATATTTATATGTACACTCATTGGCTTCATTGAGAGGAGGAGACTAAAATCTTACATTTCACAGACTTCTGAAGTGGTAGTTCATATTCATTTTGATAACGAATTAGAGTTTTAACAGACAAATTGACTTTAACAACACTATTAATTATAGATAGATACATAAAATCTATCTTTGTAAGTGATTATTTAATTTAAATGACAAACATTACATTAAAAACAAAAAACTCAACAACTTGCGCATTGAAACGATGTTTAATTGGAAGAACAATGGCAATTGGAATTTTTTAAACTTGTCTTGAAGAAACACTTGAGTCAGCTACTTGGTGAAAGGAATGTTAATAATTATAATAATCTAGCTTTGGATCCTTAAACTTGACTTACGTTTGATATTATTATATGCAATTAAAAATGGTTCCACTTGAGAGAATTTCAGACTTCAACCATTGCTGTCATTCTGTCTTTTTTTTAGAACCATGATTAACGTTAGTGCGATGTCTCTTATTACATCGTGGACCTTTTTGGTTTTGTACCCAAAACAATTTTGGTTTTGCATAATGCTCTCCACTTCAACCATTATGTCTAATGTGGATTCATGCTTAATTATTTTTTACATTACATTACACTCCTTTTTATTGCATTGCACCACTATAATATGATTGCCCTTGGTAAAACCTTCCAGTAATTTAAATAGTTAAATCACGATTTGCTCAGAACTCACAACAGATATTTTTCTGCAACTCATTAATTCGTTCAACCTAATTCCATAATAACCACTTTTTATGCACATTATCCACTTTCCATTAGTCAAATTGTCTTCATTGTCACACTTCCCATACCGTTCAATTCTCTCACCATCGTTCCATCGGTACATTGGTCCACATAAGGATTTCTGTTTAGAAGCCAAAGTCTCCACAAATTATCAATCATCCACATAAATTACCATTTTCATATGCATATAATATATATTTTTAAATTACACTCTAAAATGAAACGAAACAACTTTTACAGAGTTTACCCTTTTTTATGGTTCATAACATAAAAAACTTTTCCAATTATAAAGCAGAGTCTAAAACTGTTATATCACTAAGTCAACTGTTTTATCTTTAAATTACCATTTTATATCTTTTACTTTACTCATTTTATTTTTACTCTATTTGACTTTTGTAGGTTTTTGAGGTAATTTCATTTTGATTCCACTTAAAGCAGATTCAGTAATTGTATA